GTGTCGAGGGGTGGATGGAGAAAGGGGGGGGGTGGGTAACCCCGCAGGGTGTTTTTTTGGGTGTCCGTGTGGTGTTTTTAGGGCTCTCGATACCCAGCGCGGGGGCTGGAGGTGCCAAAACGGCTCTTTGGGTGGGTTTGGGTGAGGAGTTTTGGGGTTTGAAGGTGAAACTCCATCGGTTGGAGCCTTCTGGGGGGGCTGGTGGCCACGGGCCAGGGAGAGCCCCGGGGGGCTGGTGGCCACGGGCCATGGGCTCTGGGGGCCGGGCAGAGCCCCGGGGGGCTGGTGGCCATCGTGGCCGGGCAGGGAGAAGGATGAAGGACGACCCTCCATGGATCAAACCATCGGGGCTCACAACCCTCGTGCACTCACTATTACTCACCCCCATCCCGGTGTTTTCCTTTACCTGGATCCAAAGGGGAAGGGGGGGGGTTTGTCCCCCCGTCCCGGCGATGCCTAAACCCCGTCTCTGGAGCTGGGTGGGGGAAAAAAAAAACAACCAACTCCCCAAAAAGACTTTTTATTGTTTGTGGAGCTAAAAGCCGTGTGTTTTCCAGGAGAGCGTGAAGGTGCTGCGGCTGACGCTGCCCAATGACCTCCCCGGGGAGCGGCGGGAGCAGGCCAAGCAGAAGGTGGGTTTCCCCCCCACACCCCGGGGCTCATTTTGGAGTGGAAAATGCACATTTTTGGAGTCAATTCAGGGAGGGGCGGGGGGGATGGGTCTCTTTGTGCCTTGGCCAACTTAAAAAAACTCCCTCCTCCCGGTGTGTGAAAGCCTTGGGTGCCGGATCCCGGCGCCGCGCTCCCGGGGCTCATTTGCCTGGATCTGGGAGAACCGTTCGGGCCAGTTCTGGCCACGCTGAGGGCTTTACTGGTCCCCCCCACCCCCCATCACCCCACTTTTCTCTCTGGCAGCCGGTGGGGAAAGCCTTCGCCATGGTGGCCAACCGGGCCAGCAACGGTCACTCCCTGGCCTCCGAGTGCATCAAGTCCAACGACGGCGACGAGGAGATCATCAAGGTACGGCCCCCACCTCCCTTGTTGTCTTAACAGTTTGGGATGGGGGGAAAAAAGGGTGTTTTTCACCAGGAAAAAGTCCCCTTCTTTGGAGATTTTCAAGACCCGCCTGGATGCTCTTGAGCAACCTGCTCTGGGTGGTCCTGCTTCAGCAGGGGAGTTGGTCTCGATGATCTCTATGGTCCCTTCCAACTCTAAAATTCAGTGAAATTTTGCTCGGGGGGGGCAGGGTGGCTTGGGTAGGGGGGACGTGGTGTGAACTTGGGGTGGCTGCAGGATGGGGGTCACACCACTTCAAAAAACATCAAACAAGGTTAAGGGGAAACCTTAACCCTGTGGGTGTGCTATGGGGGGGGTGGGACACGGTGTCCCGGGGGTCCGGGCTGGCTGGAGGTTGGGGGGCTGATGGAGGGGGGGGTCTGACCGGCCACCACCGTCTCTCCTGGGGCAGGTTTATCTCAAGGGACGGGCCGAGGGCAGCGTGAACCACGAGGAGCACGTCAACCAGCTGAAAAGTGAAGTCCGTTACATCCAAGAGGTAGTTAAAATCCATTGGGGGGGTGGGGGGGGCTCTGGCTTGACCCACGGCGGGGTCGGGGTGCTCTGCTTCCCCCCTGGGGTGTCCCCAAAACCAGCGGGTGACAATCCCCGCAGCCCGAACCCTCCAGCCTGTTGCCTTGCCCCATCCCGGGCAGTAGCACCATAAATTAACAGCAGGCTGACTAATTGCTCTGCTCTATGGACTTGAATTTGAAGAGAATTGCGCAGATGACTTTCCCCCAAGGCTGTCCCCTGCCTGCCTGGGTGCGGCACCACCACCCCGGCCTCTCTCTCTCTCTCTCTCTCTCTCTTGTTAAAAGGCAGTTTCTTTGGTATGTCTCATCTTCCCAAAGTAAACTGGGGAGGATTAACCCTTTCCCTCGCTCCTGCTGGGGATGGGCTTTCCGCAGAGCTGGCTGCCAGGCAGGGGAGCGGCTGCATGTTCTGGGCTGGGCGGCTTGGCCTTAAAAAATGAGGGGGGGGGGAAAGAAAAAAGGGGGAAAAAATAGAATTGAATTTGGGTTTGCTCTCCCGGGGGAGCTCCCAGTCCCCCCGCCAGGCGCTGGCCTCAGCAATCAGTGTGGGGCAGAGCTGGCAGGGCGGCCTCCTAATCTTTGACGTCAAACTTCTGACTCCTCTGCCAAAATTGACCGGCCACCACCGTCTCTCCTGGGGCAGGTTTATCTCAAGGGACGGGCCGAGGGCAGCGTGAACCACGAGGAGCACGTCAACCAGCTGAAAAGTGAAGTCCGTTACATCCAAGAGGTAGTTAAAATCCATTGGGGGGGTGGGGGGGGCTCTGGCTTGACCCACGGCGGGGTCGGGGTGCTCTGCTTCCCCCCTGGGGTGTCCCCAAAACCAGCGGGTGACAATCCCCGCAGCCCGAACCCTCCAGCCTGTTGCCTTGCCCCATCCCGGGCAGTAGCACCATAAATTAACAGCAGGCTGACTAATTGCTCTGCTCTATGGACTTGAATTTGAAGAGAATTGCGCAGATGACTTTCCCCCAAGGCTGTCCCCTGCCTGCCTGGGTGCGGCACCACCACCCCGGCCTCTCTCTCTCTCTCTCTCTCTCTCTTGTTAAAAGGCAGTTTCTTTGGTATGTCTCATCTTCCCAAAGTAAACTGGGGAGGATTAACCCTTTCCCTCGCTCCTGCTGGGGATGGGCTTTCCGCAGAGCTGGCTGCCAGGCAGGGGAGCGGCTGCATGTTCTGGGCTGGGCGG